ACAGCCTACACTCCCCCAAAACAGGGACAAATCCTGCTCAGTCAGACTATACACATGAGGCAGGAGAACAGGATTTGGCTACCACTGGCCACTTGCTTGTGACACAAAAGCACTTAGTGCGAGAGTTCTGCCGCACAGATCATGGAGTATTCCACTTCTGTGCATAGTTTCAGTAATTGAATCTGGTGCCCTGCCTGAGCTGCAAACCCCTTCGAGTGGCACCTTTGATCAGTGGGGTTATTCAGTGCTATTCCAGTAGCACCTTTGATTAGTGATAATCCATTCATTGTCACCATGACTAACAAGAATGGGGCCAATCTTCTAAGGAGCTGAATGTCTCCTAATAGGTACAGAGCACCATCGTCATCCATATACTAAATTCCCTTGACTCCCATTGGGAGATGAAGGTGCTCAGCCTCTCACAATAGGGTCTTAATAGGAATATTGGCCGCAGGAGCCCAGGGTTGCAACACTTAAGTCAATGGGAACAACTGTATGAGCAACTGTATGAGCAGTGTATCATGATTAAAGGTTGCAGGATCAGGCTTCAGTTTAGATTAGACTCTTACAAGTGCCAGGAAGGTCAAGATCTGGAAATCTGGTGCATTCAGACTCCTTTTTCCCTATGCAATAGTCCTTTTCCCCATTTAAAAATCCCACAAAGTCAGAAGTCTCTTTTTTAGGCTGCTGAGATGCTTTCATGTTTTCTGTCAGATAATGCACCCTTGGCATTATTTCCATGCGACAGGTTTTGTGCAAATTACACCTGGCTCAGCTCAGCTATAATAAAGGTTATTGTGAACTAATAAAAGAGCCTATTTTTCTCTCAGCCAGAAACAAGAGCCAGGAAAAATGGAAAAAACAGTCTTTACCTGCCTGTTATCTACTATAACTGTTAAGTTTTGCTGGTAACCATACTGACAGCATGAATAACAATAGAAACATGTATTTACTTTTGTTATTTCAGCTGTGGGTAGCCAGATCATTTTAGTTGACAAAACATTTTGTTATATAAGAGATCTCAAAAATCTCAAATAATTTGAGGCTTTATATTATCTATTTGCATTGTGTCCACCTCTGTTTGTTAGGTACGGCAAGATACAGATTTTCTATAGCATTCATTATTATTATTATGTATTAGCATTGTAGGTGGGCCAGCACATGGAAAGGTGATCCCTGCACCAAGGTGCATACCAACCTGAGCTTGATAAACCTTTGGACAGGTGGTTTGTTTTCACTCACAGGAATAATTCTACTGAGGTTACTATTATCATCTGTATCACGGCTAGCACCTAGGAAACCCAGTCAGGGATCAGGGCCCCATTGTGTTAGGAACCATACAGACAGCTAGTAACAAAGAAGACAAGGACTTCTTCAGTCAGGGTTTGGATGATCATGCCCTGATATTGGGTCAAAGACATACCAGGACAAAGTCATGGGCAGTTTAGAGACTGATAAGAACAGATTTAATAATTTTATTAAGATAATGTTGAAATAAAAAGAAAACGGTACAGATATAGACCAGCTCATTGCTGGCTCTCTGGGGAAGGAACAGCTACTTCTTCACCAGCTGCTGGACAATCTTGTCTGCCTTGTTGAGGGGTACCTTCGCCACAGCAGATCCCCTTAGGACGAACGAGATGTGAGGGATCAGGAAGGTGTTCAGGGCGTTTATCTTCTGCCACGGTGCTAGCAGGGAGGCGTCGATCTTGGCGGCATCCTGCAAGATCTCCTGGATGGTGTCCTCGGGTGTCTGCTGGACACGGAAACCCGTTGCCGTGCCCAGGTGCCGGTAGGCCTGTCCTTCTGCCAGGGGGATGACGGGCTCACCCTAGATCTGGAACCCTGTCGTCTGCACCGAGTCCCTTTTGCTGCCGTCGATGTGGACAGATGCGCACTTCTTTTTACTGAAGCGGAGCCCCATCCAATCGGCAACTCGACTGGTGGCATCTAGCATACATTGGAGGTTCTCTGGGTCGTCCGCAGTCAGGACCAGGTCATCCGCGTAAGCCAGGACGCTTACGCTCTCACCGTGGAGGTTGAAGCCATCTGCGCCATTGGAGATCGCTCGCAGCAACAGCTCCATGGCGAGGTTAAAGATGATGGGGCTGAGGGGACAGTCCTGCTTAACTCCGCTCCGGATCGGGATCTCGGCAGTCTCCCCTTCAACCGAGCAAATGGTGGTGCTGCATCCCTTGTACACCTCTCGGATCACACGGAGGAAGTTCTCTGGCGTCCCAAACTCCTGGAGCGTGGCAAAGATATGGTGGTGGGGCATGGACCCAAAGGCGTTAGCCAGGTTGAGTACTACATGAAAGGTATATGCCCTGGGAGGACAGCTGCTCCTGAAGCAGTTAGGAGATAATTGCATCACAGATTTCATTTTTAAATGTAATGACATTTACAAGAATGAAAAGCAATGAAGTTTCAGTGGCAGAAGTGAGTTTTTGAGAGATTGGAACAAGGTGAGGGTGGATGCCCATGTACAAGAGATGGAGGAGGGAAACCAATAACTTATCATTTTTCCCTTTATCCTGCCAGCAAAGGTCAGGAGGGCAGGTGGGCATCAGGATGTGGCTTTCTGCATCAGCTACTGATAGGCTTTGCTGGGAGCAACTGTTCCACTGAATGCATCCGATGAAGTGAGCTTTAGCTCACGAAAGCTTATGCTCAAATAAATTTGTTAGTCTCTAAGGTGCCACAAGTCCTCCTGTTCTTTTTACAGAATGAGCTGTTCTCAAGCCATTTTTTCTGCTGTCTGGGCAAGATTGCACACCGGATATGTACGGCGACTTTTCGGAGCATTCAAAGCTAGGACACTAAAGCCTCAGGTCCTACGCTATAACTTTATGCTATTTTCTACCACAGCAACAGGGATTCATTAAGATACCTGGCTTGCTAGGTAACCAGCGTGATTGTAGAGGCAAAAAGAAGTATTAGAGAGAATGAACAATGAAATGAAATGGTGCTTAGAAGAGAGGGAGGAAATAAGAATAGATTTCATTTACACTGCTCTGGCACTGTAACGGGGCCTTGTGATGTTAAGGTCTATGAAAATAAGTCCCAGAATGTTTTCTACCTTGATGCCACACTAAAGTGAATTAAACAACCGATTTGACAGCTTGAAATGAAAATGAAATTACTTCCAGTCTGTGAATCCATATCCATACCAGCTTGCTTCAAGCATGCTTCAAAGTGTGTAGAAGTTTGCCCAAGTTTTCTCAAAGCACCGTGCTTCAGTGAAACTTAGACACACAAAAGAATTCTGCCGGTCTTAGGGTATGTTTACACAGGAGCTGGAGGTATCATTTCCAGTTCAGCGAGAAATACCCACACTAGCTCCAGTCTCAGTAGTGCGCTAAAAATAGCAGTGTAGCTACAGTGGTGCAAATGGTGGGTTGGGCTAGCTGCCCTGAGTACTTACCTAGGGTTTCAGATGGGCTCCTAGTGGTGGTGGCTAACCCATATAGCCAGGACTGCAATTCTATTTTTAGTGCACTAGCTCCATCGGCGCTAACATGGCTGTGTCTACCATAGACAAAGCCTTAGACCTTCCTATGGCTGGACCACTGAAAGGATTTGGAAGTGGGATTAAATGCAATCAGTGTAGAAAATTCACCCCAACAGCAGCCCAAATATTGGGGAGTGGGTGGAGAGAGAAATAAAAGCATGGAAAGCTTTACATATCTAGAACATTGTCCATGGTAGTGATGCTCAATGTCTCGAGCCAGCTGTGTCTCTTTATAGACTGGCATTGAGCTCCCATCATGGGTCTGACTGCTATTCCCATTCTGTGACATCACATGAGGAGGCCTGTGAAAATATTGTCATTTAAAAGTAAGACATGCAAGAGTCAGACACACAGGTGGATGGCAGGGACATTGATCGAATCAGACATCTTGAAATCAGTGACACCCTCTGAATATCAGATCTGTCAGTGAGCCCTAAATAGTCCCGCTTAGACAACTGTCACCTTTATTTAGTTGTTTTGATGATACTATATTTACTATTCCTTGTAACATGGTTTCTGGTAGCCGGTATTCAAATTCATCCCTGTTGTAACTCCATGGCCTTCAGTGGGATGACACCAATAATAAAATCTGTCGTTTTGTCTGTATATAAACCCAGATCCTTCACCCACTTGAGAACATGTGTAACTGAGGGATGGCTCAGTGGTTTGAGCATTGGCCTGCTAAACCCAGGTTTGTGAGTTCAATCCTTGAGGGGGCCATTTAGGGATCTGGGGCAAAATTCGGGGATTGGTCCTGCTTTCAGCAGGGGGTTGGACTAGATGATCTCCTGAGGTCCCTTCCAACCCTGATATTCTATGATTTATCAAGCCAGTAGCCCCACTAAGCTCTATGAGGTGGCTCAAGTGAATAAAGTTATGCACAGGCTTACTTGCTTGAAGGACCGGGGCTGTGGTTTGTAAGCAATGGGGGTGCAGGAGCCATGTCTGTCTCTGCACCGTAGAGGAGGCTGATGTGTGGAAAGATGGTCCAGTGGCTGGGCTACAACGCTTAAAACTTGGGACACCTGAGTTCCAGCCCCGGCTCCTCACAGACAAGTTGTATCGCTTTGAGGAAGTCACTTACTGGGCTAGGTGCCCAACGCCTGTAGAAAGCAACAGGAGTTAGTTGCCTCAATACCTTTGAGGATCAGGGCCTTAGATGTTCAGCTTCAGCTCCCCACCCGCACCCTGGGGAGAAGAGCCAGTGCTGCTTCATTCAGGGCACCTCTGGGCTTGGCCGTTCACAGCCCCGCACCAGAGGACTGCAACCCACCAAGCAGTAGGACCCTGCAGCAGCTCCCGGGGACAGGGGCCGTCTGCCAGTGGGAGGCTCCAAAGGCCTTCTTTTTTTTTTTTTTTTTTTTTGGAGCTTCAGAGCCTCCCACTGAAACGTGCAACTTCCCCAACTTTCTGGAAGTTTCTCTGGGCGGGTTATATAGCCCCCTCCGCGGGGCTGGGCGCTGCAGAGAGGGACGCGCACCCGGGGAGTCCGGCTGCTCCGCTCGCTGCCAGCCGCGCCGGCCCCGCGCCCCAGCTCCGCGAGCCCCGCACCCCCAGGCCGGACGCGAGCCCCCGCGGCGCAGGAGCGACCCCTCCAGGTGAGGGGCTCCGCAGGGTCAAGCCCCGGGCTGCGGGCAGGGACGCGGGGGAGCGGGAGCAAGACGCGGGGGGGGCGCCCCATGGATCTCCTGGGTATGGTGAGGGTGTTCCCGGAGGGTCCCCGCGGCAGCAGCGGGGGGTGTGCATGGGGGGGGGAGACACACACCCCGGAGGGTCCCCGCAGCAGCGGGGGGAGCTGTGTGCATGGGGGGGGGGACACCTCGGACTTTTTCTGCGGCAGCAGGGTGGGGGGGACACCCCGGAGGGTCCCCGCAGCAGCAGGGTGTGTGTGTGTGTGTGGGGGGGGGGGGGGGACAGGGACACACTCCCCGGAGGGTCCCCGCGGCAGCAGGGTGTGTGTGTGTGGGGGGGGAGAGACACACTCCCCGGAGGGTCCCCGCGGCAGCAGGGTGTGTGTGTGTGGGGGGGGAGAGACACACACCCCGGAGGGTCCCCGCGGCAGCAGGGGGTGTGTGCATGGGGGGAGACACACACCCCGGAGGGTCCCCGCGGCAGCAGGGGGTGTGTGTGCATGGGGGGGGGACACCTCGGACTTTTTCTGCGGCAGCAGGGGGGGGGACACCCCGGAGGGTCCCCGCGGCAGCAGGGTGTGTGTGTGTGGGGGGGGGACAGGGACACACTCCCCGGAGGGTCCCCGCGGCAGCAGGGTGTGTGTGTGTGTGGGGGGGGCACACCCCGGAGGGTCCCCGCGGCAGCAGGGTGTGTGTGTGTGGGGGGGGCACACCCCGGAGGGTCCCCGCGGCAGCAGGGTGTGTGGGGGGGGGCACACCCCGGAGGGTCCCCCCGGCAGCAGGGTGTGTGAGTGTGGGGGGGCGGTCAGGGGAGATGCCTGGACTGTCCCTGGGCTAGGGGAGATCAGTGGTGTAGAGGAGGGGGGTGGGTCCTGTGGAGTATCCCCCGGTTGCTGGGAAATCCCGTGTGGAAGGGGAGCAGGAGCCGGGGAATGGGACTGGGGGGAGGCGGGGGGCTTGAACACGGTTGGTGTTAAGATGAAACCTGAGGCTCTCACCAGGACTCTGTTCAGCAGCCTGGAAAGTTTGGGTGTGGGGGTGGCTCCCCCCTCCCTGGGGATTGACGGGGTGTGGGGAGGGGCAGCATGGAGCATTTCTGGGGGGCTGCATGCCCCACCCTGGCCCTGTGGAGGATGTGGGAGGAAAGGGGTGGGGGCAGCTGTGTGTGGGGCTGCAGGGTATTAAACTTGGGGTCTGGAGCAGCTGCTTTCCTGCAGTTAGAGGGGAGGCAGTTCTGGGCTCCACTGATCCAAGGGCGGCAGCAGCCTCTCCTGCCCCACACCAGAGGGGTCCATCTTCCAGGCTGCCCCACACCAGAGGCAGCCATTGGCAGGAGCTGCCAATGATGCTCACACAGATCCTCAAGACACTGGGAGCAGAGATGCCTGGGTTTAAGTAGCCCAAGCAATGGAGAGCGAAATAAAATGAGGGGGAGGAATAAAATAGCAGTGTCCCAGGGATCAGCTCTCTGCTCCTGTCTCCAGCTCAGAGCCAGCATTAAACCAGTGGCCGCTACTTCCTCTATCCCCGGGAGCCCTGGGTCGCCCTGCCCAAAGGGTGAACTGCTGCAGAGCAGAAAAGCCACAGCCCAGGGGATAAGGGTGCAGCTCTTTGTTCTCTCTTATTATGAACTAAAAGCAACTCTGTGTCAAAATGCAAATCCTCCGGCTGTCTTAGTGCAAGATCTCTACTAACACCCAAATGGCATTTACTTACTACATTTGTGTGAGTCACTTTGTTATGTGGTTTGTTCTGATCTAGTGTGTGTGTGTGGGAGGGGTGGGGGATCTAAGGCCCTGATCCTGCAAGATGACTCCCATCCCAGACAGACCTGCCACGCTGGCACAAGGATCTGCCTGCATGCATCTCATGGCAGACTGGGGCCCTGGGGAGTGCAGGGTGTGAGTGGAAGCTATCAAGTATGAGCTCCTAGAGACTCCAAGAGCGGCACTAAATTATAACACACAGGCCAATGCTGTTGTCTCACTAACACAACCCCTTCACATAATTCAAGGGTAGGAGACATTGCTCAGAACAGGGTGGAGCTTACAGGCTGAGACCTGTTGTTACTGTGCATTTCCCTAGTCCTTGGGGAGACCTAGACATTTGTCGATTCAACCCTTCTGCGGGCAAAGTTTGGGCACAGCGGCTTCCTGGATGGTGGCTAGATTTCATTGCTCTCTGAAGTAATGGAACTGTCCTAAAGATCTAGCACATGCTTTAAACCAGGCACCATTCTCAAGGGAACTACTTTCTGTATCTGTTTTCTTTCAGAATGAAAAAGGCAAACGTTGACCTCACTATGAAAAAGTTTCAAGGTATCTTTAGAAGAAGAAAACAAAACAAAAAAAACACAAAAAAGTTTGAAACTGTTTAACTGCATAATCCCAGCCCCACATCCAGACGGGGAGATTATAAACTGGCGTATGTGTCTTAAATAGTCTTTCTTGTGGATAGCGAGGGCAAATTGAAGTTGGTAGCTTTTCATTTTCAGTCTTTCAACAAGGCTTATTATTGAACGGATCTTAGGCTGTAAATTAACCCTATCCCTAAGGCTGTATAATTTCCATCCTGTGAACTGCAACATGTTTGCTTGTAGCTGCTTGCACAAATGCTTTCTTCTGTGTGTGTAATTCCTTGGGCCCACCTCTGTTTCCTGTTCTGTTTTCTTTAACCCTAATGCTGCCACTCCAGCTGCTGCTTGCCGCTGCATGCCAGGAACTGAACTTCAGAGCAGCCTCAGCCAGGGGGAAGAATGACTAAAGCGTGGAGCTCAATCACAGCACCTGGCAGGATGCCTGAACAATTCAACATTAGGTCTTTGGCTACCACAAAGATAATGTCATACAACAAAAAGTCTCGGGCATAGAAAAGGAATTTAACCCCTAATATACATAAGCAGGTAGCTTTGCTTGGGACGATTTTGAGCTCTCTCGACCTTTTGGAGCACCCTCAAGCCCAAAGTACAACCCCAGCAGGGAGGACAGCAGCACTTAGCCAGCCTTTGGGTGTACACCAGGGACTACTTGCTTCTTCAGATGTGGGCAGCTTGCTGGGGTTAAAGAGCTCAATCTGATTTGTGTAAAATAGAGTGGGTTTCAGCCACCCTCATCTTCTGTTCAGAGTTGTAGCCTGCAGAGATGACTGATCCCAGCCTGCAATGTTCTACCTTGATTGTGGTGGCCGCTGGGCCGCCAAACAGCAGTGATCTTCGGTCTCTCCTAACTTGAGCTGGATTTGAACCACTGTCCTAGAATTGAAGAGATCTCCATCCTATCGCCTAGGTCTTTGAACCAACCAACTTGCCTGATCATGTCACTTTAAAGTTCCAAAAGCAAACCAGTGAGTTAATATTCAGTTAGAGACCAGGCTTATATTCAAAATATACAGGCCCTGCGTTTCAGAGTGCAGTTTGGACTCTCAAGCATTAGCTACCATTTAGCTCTCCACACAGTATAATTTCCTTCTGCAGGTAATTGCATGGACGATTTTTGAGGGTGTAGGTTCGCACCTGCAAAAAAAGGACGCTGGGCTGAAGCCTGGTTGGAAATTGGAACCCTATTAAAGTTATTAAATTGGAAGCGAACCACAGATGCAGATCAGTTGGCATCACGAATGCTATTTCACCTTCCCATGCTGGATTCTAGGAATGGGGTTAATCGGAAGCGTTAGAGCTTAGACTAGTCTAGATGCTGACGTGGCTTTAGGAGGGACTGTAGTCTGACTGATTTTGAACCTTTCGCTGCCTTGCAGGTTCACAGCAGTGTCGTGTTCAGTGGAAGCCATGTGGGTGACCAGTCTTCTGGCCCTCTGTGCCCTAGTGGCTGCAGTGCCCTCGGAAGATAAGAAGCTGAGTGATAAGGCAGCCGCCTTAGCTGACCGCAGCGCAACTCTCGCCTTCAACCTCTACCACACGATGGCTAAAGACAAGAACATGGAGAACATCCTCGTGTCTCCCGTGGTGGTGGCCTCCTCGCTTGGCCTGGTGTCACTCGGTGGCAAGGACACCACAGCCTCTCAAGCCAAGGCCGTGCTCAGCGCCGACAAGCTGAACGACGACTACATTCACGGTGGGCTGTCGGAGCTCCTGAACGAGGTCAGCAACTCCACCGCCCGCAATGTCACCTGGAAGCTCGGGAACCGCTTGTATGGCCCCAGCTCCATCAGCTTTGCTGATGACTTTGTGAAGAGCAGCAAGAAGCATTACAACTATGAACACTCCAAGATCAACTTCAGGGACAAGAGGAGCGCCCTGAAATCCATCAACGAGTGGGCATCCCAGACCACCAATGGCAAGCTCCCAGAGGTCACCACGAATGTGGAGAAGACTGACGGGGCCCTGATCGTCAACGCCATGTTCTTCAAGCGTAAGTTAAATGCCAAGGGTGCTCTAAACTAGTGAGATGAGTGATCAAGTGCAGATGGCACCCGCTAGCCAATACCGGGCTTCACCTCCTCTTCCTAATCTAGACATAAACGATGCAAAGGACCTAATTCAGCTCCCATTTGCACTGTTGTAAATCAGTGGAGTTACACAATGGGGCAAGTGAGAGGAGACACAGGCTCAAAGAGTTTGCTCAAGTCCTACAGGGAGGGATCGGAGAGATCTTTCCCTCTCCGCTGAAATGCACTGGAGTAAAAAACTGGAGCCATTGGAGCTTGCAACAGAAATCTTATTTTAGGAGTGGAAGTGAATTAGTTTTTCCATCTGAAACTTCAGGAGTTCATATGTTAAATAAATTGGTCCAAATTGATGCCCTGGTAAATAAACTTCAGGCTGCAGGATAGAAGTTTGTTTTGGGGGGTGAGGGGTGGCAAGGAATTTGCTAGTCCCAATCTCGCCCCAAGTTAGCACAACAACAAAAATGGGAATTTTTTTTTAAACTCCAAAGTATCTGTTCTAAAGCCAGAGACAAGACACTGCACTAGACATACCCATGTTCTCTTTGGTCGAACAAACTGGGGGTTCTGAGATGCTCACCAGTTTAGTGTATTCCTTACGGGGCTACTGGAGTTAAATTTGTGCATGATGACACAGCCTGTTCCCAATTTCTTGTTAACTGATGGGTTCTCCTCCTCCTCCATTATAGCTCACTGGGAGGAGAGGTTCCATCACAAGATGGTGGACAACCGTGGCTTTATGGTGACCCGTTCTTACACAGTGGGAGTTCCCATGATGCACCGCACAGGTAAGTTTTAGCTTTTGCTCCCTGCCCCAAGTTCCACTGGACTAAATCCATCCTGTTGATTTCCAACAGAGATATTATATTAGCCCAGTTGGTCAGCGTTTCACCTGTTTTTCTTTCCCCAATAGCCTTTCAGATGAGACAGAACTATGCAGCTTTACGCTTAAATCTTAGGACAAGCAGATGGAATGCCATTTATGTTGGTAGCTTTAGATCTGGACAACTTGTCCATTAGGAAGAGATTCCATAGGGGATCTAGAATTGGGGCATCAAACAGAGATTGGAATAGTAGCAGCTCTCAGTCACTATCCACACTTGTCTACTTTTGGGCCAGTAAACTAGACAGTCCCCAGATTGCACTCCACTGAAAACATGGGGGAAATTAGCAACAGAATCAGGTGGCTTTATCTGCTTCCCATGGCTCACCAGTATTGCCTCTGCTTGCTACTCTTTTTTTCTTTAAAGGTCTGTACAACTACTTTGATGATGAGGCAGAGAAACTTCAGATTGTGGAGATGCCTCTCGCTCACAAACTCTCCAGCATGATCTTCATTATGCCCAACCACGTGGAGCCACTGGAGAGAGTTGAGAAGCTGTTGACCAGAGAGCAACTGAAAACTTGGATCGGCAAGTTGAAGAAGAGAGCCGTGGCCATTTCTTTGCCGAAAGTCAGCTTGGAAGTTAGCCATGATCTTCAGGTAAAGTCTCTCTTGACGCCATAAACCAGACTGGCTGCTATGGGTGGTTCCTGGGTCTTTATCCCACCTTTTGCTTTGAAGGGACAGGCTGGCACATGTGATTTGCTTATGAGCAGAGAAATTTCTGCCAACGTTGGGAAGGTTGTAAGAGACCAGGAGGGTGGGGGAAGAGTGGACCCTGTTATTTCTGCCTTGGGAGCTTCCCTGAGTGGACATATATTCGGATCCCCCTAACACAACCTATAAGAACTATATTTGAGGAGCCCAGAACAGGAAGATTTGATCATATCTGCATATGTAGTTCTAACCAGATCCCCACTTGAGAAATTCTCTTCTTCAGCCCTGAAAGTAGGGAGTGAAGATGGGGAAACTAGAGGTGTTTTATACACAAGTTGGCTTGCTATACATGGTAAGCTTATTACTTACTAACTGCCCTATTCAGTGGAAACCTAGACTAACACTTCTGCTTAAATGAGTGCCTGGCTCCAAGTTGGGCTCTGGGTTTATGGGCTAAACCCAATGTATTGTCATTTTACCCAGCTCATTTACACTTTTGCAAAAGGGGGAGGAAAATTTCTCCAACTCCCCTGTTCCTTTCAGGATCCAAGGAGCCACGTCCTGCTGTTAACACCCCCAGGTATCTAGATCTATTTCTCGAGCACCGGGGTATTATTCTGTATTTACACTACTGAGAGCAGAATCTAGCTGGCTGAGCATATGATTGAACATTAGTGTCTTCCTTAGGAGTCTAACCTGCCTGTCTTTCTTCATAGAAACACTTGGTGGACCTTGGCTTGACTGAAGCCATGGACAAGAACAAGGCTGACCTGTCCAAGATTTCAGGCAAGAAAGATCTCTACCTTTCCAACGTCTTCCATGCCGCGGCCCTCGAGTGGGACACTGAGGGGAACCCCTTTGATGCTGACATCTATGGCCGAGAAGAAATGAGGAACCCGAAACTCTTCTACGCCGATCACCCATTTGTCTTTGTGATCAAGGACAATAAAACCAACTCCATTCTTTTCATTGGCAGGCTAGTGAAGCCCAAAGGGGACAAAATGCGCGATGAATTGTAGTTTGAATTTTCAGGTTTTGGCAGGGTTTTTTAAATGGGGAAATGTTCTTTTGTATTCTCTACGAACTGATGGGTGCTAGCCGGACCAGCGTGCATTTTGATGTTAAATCCAGCATACTTTACCTTGCCAGAATATTCCACCAAAAGAAAATGCGTGGGAGGAACCGGGGTGGAGGGAGGGAGGGGGGTGAAAGGCCCAGGAATGATGAGAGGGAGCAATTCACTGGGATTCTGTTCCCAATCAGTGGTACATCTGCTGAGATTTTAGGTTATGGTCTGTGTCGTCTTCCTCCTTCCTGCAGTAGAATAAATCCTTATGCCAAGCATGATGGCACCAGCTGCCAGGATGCAAACTGTCAGCTGAGGCCACAGTAAAGGTACCAGCCCACACAGTTGCGTCATAGTCTCTGTTATGCCCCTTGTTCTAGACACATGGAGCGCTGCTTCCCCATCCTTCTTCCCTGATATCTTCCGTCAGGTTTGTGCTTAGGGGACAGCTTGCCTCCTGCCACACATAGATTGTTCCTGGTTCCTTGTACTGTGGGTTTCTTGGCTGAGCTGGAAGCCAGGGGGCCGATCCCTTTATCTGTTCGCTCCTTGAAGTTCTTCTGCCTGCATCTTGCTTGTTAAAGAGAGGGGCAGGGACTGAGTGTGCTCCCGCTTTGCAATGGAGGCACTGCTGCCAGATGCAGATGTAAGGAGAGAAGTGAGCCTCCAGGAGTTAGTTTAACCATTTTGGTTACTTTAGGAGAGGGAAACAGACTGTAAGAGCCATACAAGTCAGTAGGTGCTCTGATGCAGGGGCCCACCTATGAACATAGATACAAGTAGAATTTTCCCTGTACCTTCTAAACCACTTAGCCACGCTCTGAAATGTGTGTTATCTTCCCCCCAAATACTTCCAGTTGAACACAAAGTAAAAACCTCTCCACTCCTTACCCATGGACAGCTGAAATCTTGCAAAAATCTGCTTCTCTGGGAATACTCTATTTAAAAAAAAATCCACCTTAAATCACTCAGCAGTGAGATGTCTCAGCAAAGGGGCCAAGGACAGCATGGGCCATAGAGATTAAAAGACCCTTTTTCAGGTGGTCCCTTCAGCAGAGGTGAGGTGCAGCTGGGGGAGGGGTGATTTGCTCTGCAGCTAGCATGCTCTATCTGCTCTGTGGATCAAGAGGATTTCGGGCTGGGGGGCTACCAAGCAGCCAACTCTCACCAGCACTGGGCCCACCCTCGAAAGGTTTCATTAGCCCCTTAGAAAGGAGGGGAGGAAGTTCACGTCTCGTGGTGCTTCTGTTTCAGTTTGTCAGGATAGACTGGGCAAGAAACACAGTTTATATTTTGAAGATTTCTCTCTGCAACTAGAAAGTTAGAGCCCAAACCATCTCCCAAGGGGAAGACTCCTGCTGACACCTCTCAGTGGGAGCTGGCTCAGACCCTTCATTTCCTTTTTCTAAAATAGGAAGGCTTTAGATCTTCCATAGCCTGGCTTCCTAAAGACCTTTTCTACACATTCCTCTTTCCAAGAGGGTTCACTCCCCAATGGCTGACCTGCCTAGGGCACATAAGGTAACATTTGTATTTATAGCTAGGCATTTTTATATTTATTGGTGGGAAGTTTCATGATCCAACTCCAGCCTAGAGTTGATGGATCAAAGTGAATTTCCTCAAGGGACATTATCAGGTTGAAGCTTGTATTTAAAAAAAAAAAAATGGTCCTGATCCCACAAATTCCTAAGTGTGTGTCTAACACTTCTCTCTCTCTCACTGTCACAGCAAAACTGGAACAAAGGGTTAGATTTTTTTTTTTCTTCAGTTTAATCTACTTTCTATGTCACTGAAGCTGATTGCAGTTAGGGTGGACAGGGAAACTGGACTGGTTACAGTCACTTTCTAGTCTATTTCACTTTCAAGTTCTCAAGCACAAGCCCAATCCTGCAGCATCTGGATTTCAGAGGCTGACAGAGGTTTAATTGGTAAATTTGACTTCCACAATAGTTTTAAAAAACCCAGCCTTTCCTGTTGATCTGAATTTTGGGTATATACCTAAATCTGGGGGCCAAGATTTGACCTGATCTTGTCTCTTTAAGTAGATGATGTTACAAAAGTAAAGTGAAGCATATATGCCAAAATCACATACAAGTCAGCCCAGAGGGCAATGCTGTCCTTAACACCTCGAGTTTGAGTTTTGACAATCATCTCCAACAGGGTGGGGGGTGGGTGAGGCATGTATCAGAATGCACAAAATATTGCAGTGTGCATGCTCAGACAAATCTGTGCACTGAAACCCATGTCTGTTGCACAATTATACAGGATGGGGGTGGGTGGGAGTGTGGAAAACACTGGGAGAGTGTCTATTTGCATCATGTGAATGGAAGTGTCAGCTTTTTTCCCCCTGTTTTGAATTCTTGTATCACAAAACTATGAGTTGTATAATTTTGCAATTAAACTTTTTCAATTAATCTTGGCATGTGTGGTGGGTGCAATTTGTGACCATGAAGGCCTGGATTGTTTGAATCCTTCATTGGCTGTAAGCAATTGGTTCAAGGGGTTTATCTGCAAAACCTCATCTGGGTGTTGAAGCTTGTCCTACAGGTCTCTGCCCTGTCCACTTAAATCAAACCTGGGTTTATTATTCATCTTGTAATTCAGAATATACCATTCTCCCAACAATCAGAGCAGCACTTTATGAACATTCATTTAGCCTCTCCACTCCTCTGACACAGGGAAACAGCAGAGTGGTTAGTCATCTGCCTTCTGAAGTTAACAGGAGCTGCGACTGCTCAGTGCCTTGACCCTCAGTGTGTGGCTGGAGAAAAGGCAGACTTTAAAAAAACAATTACAAAGAAAATATGGTAAAGCCAAGAATAGACCCCTCCCACTGCCTCCATCCTCTGCGTGACCCCATTAGCTGGTAACACCAGCCACATGCTTGAAGCACCCTCAATTCCAACTGAAACAATGGGCAGCCCCCATGCAAACAAGGCAAGATGTCTCATTGGTCCACACTTCTACTTTAACCACTGGACACTGCTTGCACACTGTATCACACACCACCCTGTGCTATAATCTGACAGCGCAGATTTTAGCCACAGCGCTTTCCTTGGTGGATGAACCCGCTAGGCTTTGTGTTCTGAAGAAGAATTGAAATGACAGGCAGGTCTGAGAGAATTGAGGTAGGTGAGGGCATCTTTTATTGGACCAACTTCTGTTGGTCTAAGGGACAGGCTGTTGAGTTTATACAACTCTTCTTCAGTTCTAAGGCAAAAGGAACACCAGGGAAAATAGCATGAAGATTACAGTAGGAGGCTATCTGAGGTACTGGAAGAGGAAAGGAGCGCAGAGATGGAGTGGGGCAGGCTAATCTTAAAAGTAGCTGTAAGACAATACCAAAGGGTTTCATGGCTCAACCAGTCACAATTTACAAAGCGAGCTCTTTCTACTCCCAGTCCCCAAAACTCAGCGTTAAGGACCTTAACATTAAACCAGGCTCTTTTGGACTTGTGTCATCAGGAACTTTCTGCAGATCCCAGGAAGCTTAATAGATTTTAAGGCCACAAAGCACCATTATGCAATCTAGCCTGATGTTCTACATAACAGACACAGCTCACATGCAGCAATTCCTACATCTAGCCCTACAACTCATGCTGAACTGGCCTTTTAGAAAGACTCCCAATCTTGATAGAAAGACTCCAACTGATGAAGAATTTACCACCCATCCCCCGCTTTGATGACCAGTTCTAATGGGTACCACAGTAATACAAATAGTCACCCACACTGTTACAAATGTGTCTTATTTTCAATTTGAATTTTGCTGCTGAATTTCCAGCTCTTGGATGGTGTTATGTTAGGCTTTTCATCTAGCTGACAAAGAGTTCTAGTCTCAGAGTTTAGGTAAAGCCCTGTAGTCCAGACGCAGCCTACACCGACCGTGGTGTTTTCTGTTGCTGCAGGAATACCACGGCTCCCCCAAATGTTAGCGAAGCTGAAAGCAGCACTCTTCCAGCACTGTAGCTGCATGTACCCTGCAGGTTGTGTCAGTCAGGGGCATGCTAGCTTCACAGCCTTGCCCAACATTCCTATGCTGGTATTTTCTAGAGCAGGCCAAGCCGTAGGTAACGATTTAGTTCAGGGCTTCTCACAACAAAAATTTTGGTGGCCTCAGACTGCAGCCATCGACTCTTGCTGGTGGTGGCTCTTACAAATGTTCCTCAAATTATTAACTTAATTAAATATGCACATATTCATGGCCAAATCATTGTAATTGATTGATGTAGGGTTTGTTTTTTTTTATTTTGCAGACTCAATAATGTAGTTGTATTTTGGCGCCCCTGGCAACTCCCCCAGTTCCCCACCTATCACCTCTGGCCCCTGCTGCCTACCCCAGACCTCCACGGCTCCCCATCACCCTCCTGGGCACCACTGCTTCCCCCCCATTGCCCCAAGCTCCATCCTGCAGCCTCACACCCCATACTTACACTGCTCCTTGCCACAGCACCTAGTAAGGCTGGCCTTCCTGAAGTCCCTCTGCCCTGAGCTGAAGACCAGAGCCTGCTGTCAGAGCCCCAAGGCTGAAGTGGGGGGTGCTCATGCCCACCCCCAGAGCCCTGAGGCTGAAGACAGGAAGGGAGGGGGAGAAATAGAGTGAAGCCCAGTGCCAGAGCAACTGGGCCTGGCTGAGGATGCAGGAGGCTGAAGCCTGCTCCCAGAGCAACTGGGTGTTGCAGGGAAGGGCTGCAGCTTTGCCCCCTGCCCCATCTCTGCCCAGGAGACTGTTGTGACTGCAGGAAAAACCCATGGGGCCAGCGTTCCCTTTAATTTTTCCCACCCATGTGTGGAATGAATTTTGCTATGTGCACCAATGTGGAAGTTATGTGACACACATCACCTTCATATTGGTGCACATAAAATGTATGTGGTAGGGCTGGGGCAGAGGGTTGGGGTGCAAGCTCTGGGGTGGAGCTAGAGATGAGGGGTTTGGGGTGCAGGCTGCGATGGGGAGAGAGGACTGCCACCAGCCCTTTCTCGCCACAGGAGTTTAAGGCTAGAAGGGATCATTAGATTATCTAGTCTGATGGTTTGCAAGAGTAAATCTGTCACTACAGTCATTTAGCAAACACACTGATGCAGTAGGTCTTTTATACATTTGTACAGCAGCCAGGACAAGTACATCTCTCTCCTAATTGGAGCCTCAAGGTACTATTAGAATGCAAACAATAGGATCTATAGTCAACCAAGAGAGCAAACCTGTTAAGATGACAGAAGAATTGCTCTAACTTACTAAAATGAATTTTCTTCAAGAAGTTAATGGTAAAATTCTCAGCAAATTTATGTATTCTGTGGTTCTGAAACTTAATATTTTTATTAGCATAACTCTAGCAAGCAGGATTGAGACGAATACATTTACAAGAGTAACCGGGTGAAATGCCCAGGCTTGTGTTATACAGGTTATGCTAAAATGTCCCTTCTGGCCCTAAAACGTAGACCAACTACTCTACTGACACCTTCTGGCCACAAAGGCGTTTTTCCTTTTAGTAGAAGTAGTTTACTGTATCTTTATAAGAAATTCTGTTTTTGCAGCACAGGGCAATAATGGGAAGGGTACTAGGGCAGGGTAATCAAGTATTCCTTACTTCCCTAATCCATGGCATCTACCTGGCACTTCCCCTGCATGGCTGTAGCACATAGGGTTTCTTTTAAGCATATGGACCAGTTACAGGCTACTAGTGAAATCCCATTAACCACTCTCTCTTTCCCTCTTTTGATTGCACAACACTTCTGGCTACAGTATTTTTTTTGCACAAGAACAAGGCTCAAGGGGAGTGCTAATGTATATAACACTGGGAGAATTTTCACATTTCAGTATTTCTCATTTTATCACAGCAATATGTAGATTAAGAGGCACCTAAATGAGAAGAATCAGAGCGCCTACCAGGAATTTATAATGCAGAGTTCAACTATTTATTTCCACTGTGAACCTAAAAACTGTAGGTAGCCTAATGCATTATATCCAGTGTTAGGAATGGATACACACTTTTCAGTCTAACAAATGAAGTTAGCAAAGACATGTGGAATTCATGGTTAAAAGCCTGTTACTGAACTGACTATTATAGCTTCCACAGTGGCGCAAATGTATAGACCAGTGTAAGCTATGCTCCTTGGCTCGAGGCTCTTATATAGGCCTGGATATTATATTTAAGATAGTTGGACAGCCTTGCATAATGTAGCAGAAGCTATTTTAAGTATTACTTTCTTTCGTATACTCCAGTATACCAAATAAGTTTCGGACATGCCCGACCGACAACCCAAGAGCTGATTCTCCAGTGCTCACAGGGGGAGGGAGCACGGCTGCCCTGTAATTGTCTGCTTAGTGCAGGGGTTCTCACAACACTTCTTTTTGTGGTCTAAGTGCGGCCACCAATTCTTGCTGGTGGCCACTCTGACAATTTTTCCTTAAATACTTGATTAACTTTAGAAAAAACATGTTCAAATCATTGTAAATTTATATATATTTATTTACACAGGGCTTTCTGCAAACTCAATAATAAAAATAATTGCAGTGGTCTCCATTTTTTCCTGGACTTACACAGGATTGAAACACAAATAAGGTGCTTTGCATGTTTTTGTTTTGGTTGCTTTTTAAAAAAAATTAGACCTGGTGGCTAGGAAGTCTGCTACTGTGAAAAGCCATATTTGTATGTTTGTTACTATCACTTTTCACAGAAGCAGACTTGCTAGCTAGCTGGGAGGCAGCGAAAAAGTGATATTAACATACAAGTATCACTTTTCACAGCAAATTTACTCAGCCCCAGCAAGTGGAGGAACAAAGTAAGCCCTGGATGGGGAGATAGGCAGAGAGGCAATGAGGGCCAGGGACAACGGAGGGGAGGGGAGGTCAGGGCTGGCACCCGCTGTCGCAGGGCTGGGTCCCAGAGCCCAAAGCCCCACAGCCGGAGCCTGCAGCCCACCACCCTAGGGCTGAAGCCAGAAGTCCAAGCCCCACCACCCCTGGGAAGGTGGGGATCTCACTCTGGCTGCCTGATCCTCCAGCATTTGTGGCTTGGGGGGGGGGGGGGGGGAAGAGGAGAGAAAGAGAAGGACCCAACCCCTGCTAGTGGTCCTAGAGGAGGGGCCACTGCTCCCCCACCCCCCAAATAATCACCCAGGAATCTGTGGCCGCAAGAAAAGCCTTCAGTGGCCACATTTGAGAAACGCTGGCTAGTGCAGTATCTCTCAGTCATGACCTCTTATTCAAAGACATTTTCACAATCCTTTCATTTACCATAAAAGAGTAAATGTATCAATGATACACCTATGTAATTTGCATGTGCTTGAAGAGGTTAACAAAAGAAACATTGACCTTTATGGGTAAGGGTGTTGTGGGAAGGGGGGGAGCAAGATTTTTCTCTTCGGGTTGCAATAAGATTTAAAGATTTAATGACCCAATTGCCTTTTGTTCTCTTCACCTGCGTTTCATGAATACATTTTCTCCAACCCCCTGCCAGTTCAGAAACAGTGGTCTTTAACATATACAAGGACAGTCAGGTTTAAATGAGAGGAAATTCATACCTCCTAACTTGCTGAATTCCCAGAGCAATCTAACGCAAAGACTTAGACCTGGCATACACTACTGTATGCTGAGTAAACACCAATGAAATTCTCGCCAGGGAACAGTTTAGTTGTATTTTCGAATACGGTAAGATCTACTACTTGAGTTTATCCTACAGACCTGGAGCCAGTCCATTAAAAAGGTTTCTTTTGTACAGAGATGATGAAAAAAAATCACAACACACTTTAACTCCTATTTTACCGCAAATCCAAATGAAAAAAGCTCTTTCCAGTGCCACGTAGAACCACCTTCAACTCCTAAGAGGTTACAAAAATTTTGCATCTCAGGGTTCACACTGAACTCTCAATTCATTAAAATCTCCAAGAGTCTAAAAAACTGCAAGCCTCAATACACCAAACTCATGTAGCCTCTTTCACAAAATGCTTTTGGGCGTGAACTTTACCGAACACCAAAAAGCAGCTGGCTAACAGCACACAGCAATGCTGAAGTGAAGATGTCTCCAAGTGCATTTCCGCAACTAGGATTAACATCCGCACCTCCGGCCCTTTTTTAAGTCACTTGGCATAAAATTAGTGTCACCGAGGAGTCATAACTCCAATTTAAGGGACATTCGTGAGGCCTACGCACCAGACTGTGGCCAGAGTCAGAGAAGCACACTGACCCGGCCTGATTCTGTTTAGCTTGACATCTGACAGTTCACCCCAAAAGGTGGTAGGAAAAAAAGGAACTTGGGATGGGCAAAATTTCCAGAGAACTTGGAGGCAAAACTTTTAAAGACCTACACTGATCAAAAGAAGAGTCTCCACATTACACTGTCTTTTATGATTTTATTAAGATCCTTTCACGGGCCACAGTCCACCTTCTCCTTCCAAGTGTTGAAAAATCCTACAACAAAAAACAAAACACTTAACGAGAGCACAAATTTCAGTGATCACTGTAAAGTTATTAGTCATCCTGACCCCAAAATATCCTGCTGGTCTGACGCTCCCCTGGACTGCCATTACCAGCCAGGCCACAGCATTCCACCACTGTAACAGGTCTAAAACGAGCTCAGTGAGGCGGATTCCTGACATGATTGTGAAAGCAATTGTGGTTTCACTAAGTACAAATGGTCCCCTTTACTTCCCTAGCATTATCCACACACTTGTCATTGCCTCTAATGATCGGTCAGATTACAAATTAAGGGACCAAAGTAATCCAAGGAAATGTAACGAGCGTTAAGTATACTTCGATTTTACAAATAAAATTCCTGAAGCAGGGATCAATGATCCAGTGATTTGTTGTATTTGTTTGTAAACTGCTTCAACAGGAGAAAAAATATCCAGACATGTTTGCAGCTATGACTGAATACACACAGGAACAGATCTATTGAGTGAGATTGTATCATTACAGTCACTGAATAGACCTGCACTTTATTGGTTAAATCTATGAAGTGTTTGAAATCTTAGAACATGAGCTGGTATAAGGAGAAAAGATGGTGCAAATTTTACAGACTGTAACATAGTATAGGTGTGAATGATACAGGTGCTTTCAGAAGTTTCTGACAGAGAGTTGGGTTCATATCACAAGGCAGGTTATCCCAAGTATACCAGCTGGCAGAAAAGAGGAAAAAGGTCAGGGTAGAGTATCATGGGAAACTTTGGGTAAGGATTCCTAAGAAGTATAACTCAGTTTTCATCCTTGTTGGAATTTCACCGTTAGTGTCTGAGCACTAAGTTCGAGGCCTCTTTTGCTATAACCCTTCTCAGACAAATAACCCAGAAGTGATCAGTCAAGGACTCTGACTCAAGGTCCTGAAATCCATGATATAGAACATAACATGGTACAGGGCACTTGGACAAATATCTCTTTTCAGACTCATCATCATATCTTCACTGAAGGGCTGATGTTAACTGGTTTAGTAATGCAGCAATGGTACGGAGTTACACAGTGCTCCACCCACCACAATCGCCTCAAACACTTCACAAAACTAGGTTCCTTACCTATTGCCCTTACTTTCCACTCCATCACCCCAGACCCTGCACTGTAGCAACTGACCTTGCAGTCAAAGACTGGGTGCACCCTAGAAATGGAGAGGAACAAATACAGAGCGACAGGATGGTCGGGAGCTACTGATTGAACAGGTCAGTCTTTATAACAGCCCATGTATTTCTGTACTCAACTTTTTAAAATTTTATTTTACATTTGACCGATTAGCAAATTTGTGGCTTAATGCTGATTTTCAAAGCAACATAGGAGCATTATTCCTGAACAGACCAATGGTTTAATGCCCTGCATGTGTCCCATTCTGGCCACAGGGCCACACAGAACTCTTTGGAGAAACTCAGATAATGCATCTAACTGTTTGTTTGTTCCTGACTCCAGCAGAAGATCAATCTCTACCTCAAAGCATGAGGCTTGGTAGCCCTTACTGTTATCTTTGCTAGAATAAAAATGATCATTTCTGATGGGCATCACACTAGTTTCTACCATTTCAGAGTCACAGATCAAGGTCACTTACCCATTATGCAGTGGGAACTGGCTGAGGCATGGCTGGCTGTTCTGGTTTGCCACCTTTCTGCTCGGAGATGGGTGTGGTGGGTAAGATCTCTTCCTTGGGCTCCACAATGCTGACATGGTCTGGCAGCGGTTTCTTGGGTCCAATCTTCCCACTTGGGTCCCAAGGCAACATAATCTTTACTTTAATACCCAGCACACCTGAAAAAAGTGCAATATTATAACTGTGGTCATTGCATTTAAAGGAGATAAGATGCTCTGTATACATTCAGATGCTGAACTGATACAAGTTCTAAAACATTGCCATGTTTATTCAGTGGGAGCTTCCAACATCCACATAAAACTTACACTTTGGGTAATCTGTACTAGGACTCAGTTATTAGTGTGAATTAACAACACCCTTTAGGCGTACGAAGGCATAGAACAAAACTAGTCCAGTAATTTTCCTTTCATCGTTTCATGCACTGCTCTCTCACAAAGTGGGAGCTTTAAACCCCAGTTTCCTGTGCTAATTTATAAATAGTCTCTGTATCCCTTCTCAGACAAATGCCTCAAAATCATCCAATGAACAGGACACTCTGCTAAGGTAACCTAAGCACAGTACCAAAGAACATGGCACTGAACAGGCTACACTTACACAAGAAATGTCCTTTCTGACTCGTCATCGTATCATCACTGAAGGGATATCAGGTAAGATAACTGCTCTCATCTCATGTTCAAGGACTGTTCGCTCACATGTGACAATCACTTAGTGACCCGAAGAGTAAAAAATAGTTTGCATCCTTTTTGAAGCTTTAATTATATAGACCTGAAAGACTTTTACATTCTCCCTCATGCTTTTTACCATAGAAAAAAATATCAGGACTATCTAGTCTTGCATTTTGTTTCTGCCAGGAGCCCTGGGATGATTAGAGATCTGGGGTGGGACTACTTGGCTTTCAGTGGTATTTTATAAAACCAAAGTCATAATTTTATCCCAAATGCTTCTCAGGAACAGGGGTTAAGTAGGTAGCTAACACGTTTTGAACAGTGACTTAAAATCCTTTCTTCTCTCAACTACTTAGATTTCAGTCTCACTAATTCCAGTAGCTCTTCAGTCACCTAGGGCATTGCCCCCACTGCTGGTTGAAGTGAGCCTCCCAGCCCAGGGCGACAGACTCGCGCCAGCAGGGCTCAGCTACACCTGACCCCTACACTTGAGGGCCCAAGTTCCAGCCTCAGCTGCAATATGCACATGGCTACTTTTAGCGCACTAGCTCAAGTCAGTCTACCCTGGCTGCAGGAGGATTGATTTAAACCAGGGCGATTTAAACAATTATTTATATCACCAAGTGGAAGGCCTCGATTTAAATCTATTTTAAACAACTTTTCCATTTGTACTTCAGTTCTCTGCTACAGAAAGGTGCACTCTCATTGGTTGATATAACCCTTAATAAACGTTTATTTACAACTAGAGCCTTTACACTAGATTTGGTACATCTTTTTGCTACCTAGGAGGCTATACAACAACCAACATTTATTTAAGAATGATTTAGTTTCTAGTTTCAGATCATTAACTGTACGTTTTTAGTATGTTAGAAAGTGGAGAATGATATATTGCTTCTTTACTAGATAATGAACTCGTAGCACAATTTGCGTCAAGCTACATTAGGATGGTAACTGGAATTTAAATACAGAACAGCATGCAACACTTATCAGAATACGTTTCACATTTACAACTAAATGATCTATTACACAGAGGAATTCACTGTAGTCAGTGAATTGCACTGATTATTTCAGGTCAGTCAGGGGAAAATTTTCAAGTATGTCTAAGTGAAAGTGACTGGAGCTTAAGATCCTACTCACTAAGTTTCTTGAAAATGACAGTCTTGCAAGTCACTTTGCCAGTGTCTTGTACACACTAGCACCGCTCCTGGGGCCCCCACAGGATCAAGCCCTTACTATAGTTCATTACCAGTTGTGCCATGTTTATAAAGCATGACCTCAAAAGTTAGATGTTTTCCTGGATTTCTTTCTTTATATAGAAAGGCAGCCTTAACTCAACTACAGGCTCATGTATTCAGAATATTTATTTATTTAAAATGTTTTAAGAGAGTACAATAAATTTAGGCCTTAAAATATTTTGTATTAAATTCAGATTTCATTTATTTTCAAACAGGATTAAAAATAAAATAATAAAAAAAATCAAGCCAACTAAAATAAAAATAAGAGTGATTTTTTTAAAATTTTTGTCACACTGCCAGGCTGGGAGTTTTACTCCTGGCTGCAGTGTAGAGACACCCTTGCAGCACAGGTACTCAACCTGGGATCGCAAACCAGCTTGCCCTGCCTTTCTTTATGGCTAGATGGGAGAGTCCCAAAACTTTCTGTTGTCACATCGGATTATCACACGGAAAAGGCTGAGAACAACTGTTCTAGAGAATCCTCCAACAAAAATGCTACAACCCAACCTCAGTATTTCTGAAACAAAAGTCCTTTCAGGCCTCCTTTATCTCTTGAAGCATAAAAGCTCATTTTCCTTTTGCAGCTCACTTTTAAAGTCCATGTCTGATCATCAAGCCTTACATCAAGAGACAGCAGAGTCTAGCTTGCTGGAAAACGTGACTGCCAGTTACTGTGTAAACTCGGGCAAGTCCCACTTTCCCCATCTGCATGATTGGGATAATAGTGTCCTACCTCCTCCCAAAGGGATTACAGGAACAATCTATACAGCACTGTGAAAAATGTATGTATTTTCTGGGCTAACGATTAGAAACTTTGAATATAGATGTATACATATCCAAAGTGACTGACTAACTGATAGGCAATGCTGCTGCAGGAAAACACAACTAGCTGATGTGCTGACCCATAGTACGGTACTACTAAGCACCAGTCATAACTTGCTAACTAGGAATTTTACTGGCAGCTGAAGACAGTTTAACGTGTATTTCCAATTTATTTATATAGGACAAGAGCAGATGATGCGCCACATTAGACAAAATGTGTGAAACAGCAGATGATGCGCCACATTAGACAAAATGTGTGAAACAGAAGACAGCCCCGGACTGTAAGGGATTGTAATTTCAAAATGCAAAACAGCATTACAAGTACCAGGAACTAGCAGCAGTTAGAGCTGAATACTCTGCGCAACAGAAAATGCACTGCAATTCTGGGAGTGACCACTCCTGTAGCTGTCAGACAGCAGGGACGCTGCCAAGGAGCAGCAGAGTGGCAGCACTTAGGATTGTCTGGTACTAAGTGCGAATACAGGGAGCCAGCCAATTGCAAGGGGATACATATTCCAAACACTCACCCTGCCTGAGGAGGACGTGGCGCACAGCTGTATCGACATAGTAGTTTACAGGATCTCCACTGTGGATCATCAGGCCATCCACAAACTTCATAGACTTGGCTCGCTGGCCTCTGAGTTTACCGGACACCACCACCTCACAACCCTTAGCACCACTCTCCATGATGAAGCGGAGGACGCCATAGCAGGCTCTTTGGGGAGTGAAAAGAGCTACTCAGTGGTTGTAGAGAGCACTGTGTACTGCACAAGTAGGGGATATGGCTGTGGAATGTGCCAACTAAACCCTCCATAACCATCAAATTCCGATCCAAAAATCCAGCTCTCGTTAAAGGTAAGTTTCACCAAAGGGGACTGTTGCAGCATTGTCAGCCCCACAGCCTTGTTTACTTTTACGCAATTTTTCTAATAATTTCACTCCAGAGTTCCAAGAGTGGGAATTCTGTGCCTGCTTCACCTTATGCTTAGATGTTATGGGCATTGTGCACTGCTCAGCACAATGGGCTCTGGTTGCTACTACATGTAATTACATAAAATAAAAGCACTGGACAGCCTATTGAGGTGGAAAATTCTGGCTCTCCATCCCTTCTCAGACAAATGCCTCTAAATCATCCACTGAACAGGACCACCCTGCCAAGGAACCCAAGCGCAGCATCACAGAACATGACACTACAAAGGGTACACTTAACAGGATACATATCCCTTTTCTGACTCGTCATCGTATCATCACTGAAGGGATCTTAACATGTGAGACCACAGGTCATTTAAACCACAATTCATTTCCTACACAGCTTTGTTTGAGACCGAAGCGCCATCTTTGCTAATATTTCGCCCCCACCATTCCGAATAAATGGGTGTAAATATAAGCTTTTCATGTTTGACTTAGCCTGCACTCTCTTACTAATCCCCTCAGTAACAGGGCAAGTTCTATATTAAAACTAATAGTGAATTTTATTGCCAATTGTGACAGCCCTAAACAAACCATGTTTTATTTAATACTTAGTTATGCTATGTGCTATCAACAGCCTTGTGTTTAAACACAACACAGAAATGGCAGTTCAAATAAACTAATTAAAATTTGTTTTAAGTTTGCTGGAGTGTAACAGTGGCTTTTTAAAAAAAAAAAAAAAAAATCTACTTTTGAAATAAGAAATCTACCAGAGTACTTGTGGCACCTTAGAGACTAACAAATTTATCTGAGCATAAGCTTTCGTGAACTACAGCTCACTTCATCGGATGCAACAAATAAATTGGTTAGTCTCCAAGGTGCCACAAACACTCCTTTTCTTTTTGCGGATACAGACTAACACGGCTGCTACTCTGAAATTTACCACCTAGATAATTAATATTCAGGAAAAATTAGATAATAGCACTTTACAGCTTTATTCTGTCAATCCTAACTTAACCTGCGTAATGCATGCATTAGTCCCAGTCCACAAACACAGTGGTTAAAGAATTTTCCTCAAAGCCACAGAGCAAGTGTCAGAGCTGGGATCAGAACCCACAGTGCTCCCAGTCACTTTACTCTTTTACATCTACAGACCATTTTATTACACTTCTGCACTTACCGACGCACTGCTAAACCTCCCAGAAGTTTGTAACGCAAGGATTCTGCTTGGGCAATAGCACAAAGACCTCTTGTGGCCACCTTCTCAGCATAGAGCTACAAAACAAGGAACAGTGCTCAGAAACAGTTACAACAGTGAAGGTTAGCAGACTTCATGCATACAGGTAACAGGAGCCTCAACTGCCCTCTGTGCTCCCCCTCCTTTGCATCCAGTAACCCACTAAGTTCCTTGATACTTAGACAACAGATTGTGGTGCTTTGGTGTTTGTCCTCTGCTCCTCATGTTGAGCTGAGACATCCTAGTGATGCTTCTTTGAAAACCAAGGCACCATTAAAGCATGCTTGGTGCAGTCCTGGAGGTGCAATCCTACCAAGCCAGCCCAGAACGTTAGACAGCCCAGAATGTTAGACAGCCCTGGAGGTGCAATCTTCCAGAGGTGTCCAACTATGGACAGCGCTGGTGATGCATCCTGCAGGGTGGCTATGGTATGCTGGGCTGTGCTTGGAGGAGCATCCTACCAGACATGCCCAGCACTCTGGGACAATTGAAAGCCTAATAAAGAGATCACAGTCAGAAAGTGAGGTTGAAAGTGTAAGTCCTAAGCAAAGCACAGGACAAAAAAGTCAACATGGTCACAGTCACCTGGCAATTTCTCCCAATGAAGTTTAATCAAAGTTCCATAAAACAATTAGCTTTGTGTGATGGGGAAAAGAAAGCTAAGAATCGCATTAACACAGATCCTACCAGCAGCAGCATCTCCAACAGTAGCTAGCAGCAGATTCTTTACAGGAAACATGGTAGGCAACTATGTAATAGCCTCCAGAGAGGAAAAGTTTCTTCCTAAACTCCATCAGATAACAGTTTTTGCTCTTACAAATGGACCCAGTTTTACAGTCCTTGCAAACTCTGTTTTAATTCTTATTGCTGTACTCTGGATGCTGTTACCCATCACAATCTAGGCCTCAAAGGTACCTTGTGACAATGAGTTTCACAAACTAGTTACAATAATCAACAGCAGTGGTTCTCAAAACTTTTGTACTGGTGACCCCTTTCACATAGCAAGCCTCCGAGTGCGACCCCCCCTTATGCATTAATAACATTTTTTTATATATTTAACACCATTATAAATGCCGGAGGCAAAGTGGGATTTGGGGTGGAGGCTGACACCTTGCAACCCCCTGAGGGGTCCCGACCCGCAGTTTGAGAACCCCCGATCAACAGAAGCCATCAGTTTTGCATGAAGTAAAAGACAAGAACCAGTAGCATTAGCTAACAAGGATCCATTCTAACTCAAACCTGCTACAGGTCATAATACATTCCCCATTTTTGGTCTTCTAGCACCAATGCATCTCCATTGGTGGAGAGAAAAAGTGAAAATCTAATGCCTCATATCCAATACTATTAAACCTTACTTGTGATGACTGTTGATAACACATATGCAGACAGATGTGTGACTTTTAAATTGTTGTCACATTAAATTAATGCCTTTTCTAGACCTGATGTAATCAAAAGCAACATCAAGGCTCATTTTAAAGTATCATCAGAAAATGAGACAATAAAAAGAGAAAAGCCACTTACCTCAACGCTTCCTTCAGGAAATCCAAACCTTTTCTGTACAACAGCAGTCAGCTCACGGATTCGGCGTCCCTTCTCACCAAGAACGTTTTGTGTTCTGAATAAAGTAAACACGTTTATTGAAATCTGTAGCTGTGAAGTAAAACCTATTTGAGGATTTAATTTTTTCTCCATGCCAATGTACCACAGTATATTACTGTGCCAAGTCTAGTTTTAAATGACCGACTAAATGGGGATTACAATCATTCCCAGAGACAATTCCACAGTCTACCCTCATCACAAGGAAGTTTCCCCTAATATATGGGCATTTATTCACCATTTCTTAATTTCATTCACATTTTCTGGTTACCATCTTTCCAAAGAAATACGGTCACGTATAGCAGGATTATACACAAGTGTCACAGATTCTGGCTCCTGATGAACGCTGTGAAAGAATAAGGAGCAAGTTTCAATTACCTGGTAGCAAGGATGATAATTTCAGTCCTCGTTGGAGTAACTCGGACCTCTACTCCAGAGTATCCATCTTCAGCTAACTCACGAGTCAGAAACTCATTTAGCTCAGCTTTGAAGATACCATCAGCGACAAACTAAAACAGAAAACAGAACAAGTCAAGCTATGTTTAACAGTTCACAAATAAGTTTTCTAAGTAAAGTTTCATTGCTAGTTGAAGGTGCTGGCTGAACAGCTCAGAGTCTACATTTATCTTCACAGAACAGCAAAAACACTCCCTATGAAAGGCCAAATTTGTCTCAACCCTGCTTTAGAGACTACACTTCTAACATCAGTGTAATCCCTTAATAATGATCAGACCAAGACTTCAAACAAATCCAGCTAAAACCAAGCTAAAACCAAGCTCAAAACTAGCTGATAAAACCATGCTTTGTTTCACTTTTCCAAATGGCAGCTCTTCCTAGCCAGTGTGAATTTTAAGAAGTTAATTATTTCAGACTACCCCCAATCAATAAGTAGTTTTACTGCTTAAACCCGGGCCCTGACCCTGAAAACACTTGACAGGAAACATTACACCTGGTTACAAGTTTGATCCCTACTTTGCATCTGTATTAGTTATGGACGTTAGAGGGTTTCACACCAGGTTACTAGCCCTGGGGTGACCAAGGCCTTAACCCTACGTGTCTCCACTTCTGATAAGCTCCGCAGACCAAACTCACTGGAAATCTGAGTTTTACTCTGCCAGCTCCAGGGCCTACTTTATGAAACGCTGTCTGGCTGTTTTGCTGCAGGGAGGAAACACTGTCTGGCTGTTCTGCTGCAGGGAGGAAAGAGCGAAAGGTTTATACGCTCTGATAGGACACCGGCCCTCGCCCCAAGGGGCCTGAAACCCGCTTCCCCAACGCGGGGACCCTCTGCCCAGGGGCCAAGCGCGGAGCGGAGCCCTGGCCTCTACGCAAGCGGGAACGAGCGGCTGCTTTCAGCCACGCGGGCGACTCGACTCTCCTGCCAGCGGCCGCCCCGGGAGCGGGGCGCTTCCGGGCCGCCTCCCCGGCGCCTCCTTCCAGCCCCGCACAGGCTCCGCGCCGCGGGCTGGGGAGCCGGCCTCCCCCAGGCCCAGGCCCCACGCGCCGCAGGGAGCCGCCATGTTGCGCCCGGCCGGGCCCGGCCTTTCATCCGTCTCCATCCGCCCCCGCCGCCGCCCCGGCAGCCCCGCCCCGCTGCCCGGGCCCTGCCGGGCGCTCCCCGGCTCCCAGCCCGGCCGCTGTGGCCGGGCTCCGCGGCCGCTGGGGGCCGCCCGCCGCGCTCACCTTGCGCTTCTTGGAGATCTGCACCGCCATCTTGCGTCGCGCCGCCCCGGCGAAAGGAAGAGGCCCCCCCGCCCGGGGGAGGATATAAGGTCCCCTGGCCACTTGCCATTGGGCCGCGGCCGGTCACGTGGGCTCGCAGGGGCGGGTGGGAAATGTAGTCTTCCTCAGGGACAGCCCCCCCCCCCGCCGTGCTCTGAGGGCAGGGGGTCAGGGCTTGTGTCCGCTCGCGCCGGTACCACACGCACTAGGGACAGGTGTGGGTCTTTCAGGCCAAAGCGCTGTGTGGACACTCTTACTCCAGATTAACTGGGGGTCTGCAATATAAAGTGAAGTTGGCGTAAATTACCACGCACCGACCTATCGCTGCGCACGGACGCATCTCTCTGCACGTTCCCTCCGGGCGCCGTAAGAGCTCGGAGACAGCGGCACAGTAACCCCACCTCCCTGACCGGCACGAAGCCGTGGTGTACTACTGAGCACGGCGCGGTGCAAGTCTCGACCTAACTGTCCTCCAGCACTTCGTGAACTCCACGGCCCAGGGGGCACGGACAAAAGAAGCCGCCCTGCGCTTTAAACACCCCCCCCCCACCCACACACACATTAGTGAAATGTCTTTTCTCTAGCAAGCACACCTTAGCAGCTCTCTCTTCTCATGTGTGACTGCTCAGCCAACCGTGCCAGCTCCACCCACCAGACACGCTCCGAGCCGGTGTAGACAAGAGAGAGTCTTGGGCCTGTGAGGAGAAGAGGCCGTGCTGACACAGCTCCAGACCAGCCCCAGCAACATGGACATCTACGCGCATATTGCACGAGAGATGCAGACAAAGGGGTATGACAGGGACCAGCGGCATTGCCACGTGAACACGAAGGAACTGCAGCAGGCGTACCACAAGGGCAGGGAGCACAGCAATCGTTCGGAGTCTGAGCCCCAGACAGTCTTCTTTTACAATGACCTGCATGCCGTACTTGGCGGAAACTCCCCCAGCACTCCACAGATCACCATGGATACCTCAGCAGAGCCTGAGATAGAGACCTCTACTGTGTACAGCCAGGAGGAAGAGGGTGGAGATACTGTAGGGAGACCAGGTGACCGGATTTTGAGCGGAACACCTGGTTGAAAAGGGACCCTGGCGGCTCCACTCAGCACTGCCAACCGGACCGAACCGGACCGTTAAAAGTCCGGTTGGCGGTACTGCAGTGCTAAGGCAGGCTAGTCCCTACCTGTCATGGCTGGCACTGCACTGTACCCCGGCTCCTAGGCAGAGGGGCCACGGGGCTCTGCGCACTGCCCCCTCCCTGAGCACCAGGTTCATACTCCCATTGGCCAGGAACAGACAGGATCTGTTTGAGATGACACCAGGCAAACATGGATGAGCGTGATGAAGGGGACTTGGGTAAGTGTGTGCATGCATTTTTTCTTACAATGTTTAAATTTAAGATGGTGCCCAGTCCATCCATAAGTTAACAACTCAGCTATCAACTTAGGCGGGGATGGGGGGGGGGCATGTGGAGCAGTGTGTTCGCGTACGTGAGAGAACTCAATGAAACTTTCATGGAGATACTTTGCAGTCCTCTTCACAAGGTTTCTCGGGATGACTGCCTTATTTCTTCCTCTGTGGTAGGATACTTTCCCACACCTCTCTGCCATGAGTTTGGCTGGCATCATTGCAGTAAAACAGGCTAGGAGCATGTGGGCCTGGGTGGCTTTGAGACACCAGTAGCAGTTTTGCTTTCTGTGCCTTTGTGATCCTCAGGAGTGAGATATCAGCTAAAACCACCAGCATTAAATAGTGCCAATGTTCAGTGCCATTCCCTATACTTGTATTGTTTCATGCAACCAAAGTTCCTTCCCACCCCTTGTCCCATACTCACCATAGCCAGGGCTGGAGAGTGGTGCTGTGCAGAGGCATTCTGATCTGAAGCTGAAATGTCAATAAACATGTCTTATTAAAAGGTGTTATGGGAATAAAGGAAGGAAATTTTGAAACGTATCTTTCCCTTTCCACTGTGACTGTAAATGCAGTAATACATCTGTCCCTTTTTATCAGCAGCTGCTGTCATTGCAGCCTTAAGGGATGCCCCCTCCACACCCACAGAACACCTTACCATGATGAAGAGGAGAAAGAAGAGGACTAAGGAGAGAGGCCGTGTCCAGTGAGATCCTGCAACCCAGTTCTGCATCAGATCACAAAGAAAGGGCCTGGAGGCATGGGCTGTGGGTAATGGAGGCTGGGGGAGGCCAAGCCTCCCCAAACCTCCACTAATGCTCCCCACCACAGCCACAGGGCCAAGCCGCAGTTGGGCTCAGCAGTCCTCTGGGTGGCCTGGGCTCAGGGCTCTGGACTGCTCTGGGCACCGGCAGGCTGACTCGGGTTCAGGGTGGTTCTAGTGGGCCAGCCAGAGCTCAGGGCTACTCTGGGTGCCAGCAGGCCAGCTGGGATCGGGCCTGCTCTGGGTGCTGGTGGTCTGGCCCGGGCTCGGGGCTACTCCAGGCCCAGATGGGCTGGCCTGGGTTCAGGGCTGCTCTGGGCGCCAGGGTTTGCGGCTGTACCGGCCAGCCAGCTGGCGAGAATTGGGGGAGGGCAGGGCCTCAGGCGGAAGGGACAGAGCAGGGGGCTAACCTCCCCAAATAGGGGGGGGGGGTGCACTCGTCGCCCATGCCTGGAGCACCAACATGGCCAACGGCAGGAAGAAGGAAAGCTTGGACAGGAGAAAGGTGCAGGAAAAGGAGAGGGAGATGCACTAGGACATAATGGGACTTCTCAGGCAGCAAACAAATGCTGCAGACCTAAGCTGACCTACAGGTCCAGAAATCCCAGACCTCCCCACCCCAGTGTATGGATTATCCCTCCCCATGTTGCTCTGCGCATACTTCTAACACTTCCTGTGACATTTGCCAGTGGAGAACGCAGCTTCTCCAAGCTGAAGTTAATAAAAACACATCTATGCTCCACAATGACCCAGGAGAGGCTGGTCAGCCTTGCAACCATCTCAGTAGAGCATGAGCTGGCCCAGACTGTGGACATTCAGCAGGAAGCAGTTCAAATCTTTGCAACCAAGAGGGCACGGAAAGCACCACTTTGATTATTCAAACAGATAAAAATGCCAGTGTTTACTATGCAGACAAGAAAAGTTACATTTGCTGTTCAGGCATTTGAAAGTTAAGTGTTACTTAAAATTTTTGAACAAGGCATTTTAAGTTGTTAGTTCTCCTTTTATTGGGGTAGGTAGCAGAGCAGTACCATGAGAGGAGTAGAACAGGAAGAAGGCAGAATTGAGACCTTTCAAAGTTTTGGCCCAAGCGAGAGGGTATGGGGGCGTCATTTGAGCTCCCCGCCACAGGTGCCAGCCCTGGGAAAACCACAACTTCACATACACTGACCTGTGAGAACCATGGCTGGTGTATGGGTAACCACACCAGACTACATTTGTGCACTGAAATGGAAGGAAATGTTTGCTGCCTTTCCGATTTCAAAGCACTGCATAGTAGCGAGGTATTCACCCATTCTGCCACTAGAGGTCACTAAAGACAGTTGCTGGGACAGAGGCAGGATAGACCTGTCTCTGTTCCTCTACCTTCATTTATTTATTTTTAAGTGATTTTAGTGCTGGTGAAAAATGCCTGCTAGACAGTCCTGGAGACTAGGGATAAGCCGCAGGCAAAGGCAATGCAAGCTTTCTTCAAGTCGTTCTGCCAACGTACCTCATCCCTAATCCGGAGATGCCATCTCTACGAGAGAGAGGCTCATTAATTTCCTGTCATGGCCAGTTCAGTCCCAGGCCACTCTGCAAGAGGCTGCCAATAGGAGGACATTTAATGCTAAGATGTGGATGCTTGTCTGCTAGGAACTGGACTGAGACCTGCCAAACTCATTACACACAGAGTGTCAAATGCTTAGCTGACCCATTCTGTACAGCTCCTCAGGTGACATTCTTCACCAATGAGAAAGTTGTCCTGAGCAGCAGGCACAGATGTCTTTCCCTTGCACCCTACAGAGGGGTGGGGGGTAGGTGGTTGAACCAGGGGTGACCGGAGAGGATAGGGAAATCTGTGGGAACCAGATTACTGGAGGGAGAGCTAGGGCAGCTTTTGGCAGCAGAGGGGGCCTGGAACCCATCCCACATTCTGCTTCTCCCTGTGTTCTGGATGCCCCTGAGTCCTTCACCTCCCTGCTGCTAATGTCCTAAATTATTCTGAAGTGCAGGTGAAAAGGCTTAACATTGAGTATAATGCTACTGAGGTTCCGATGCAAAATAATTTCACGGCATAAAGAATATATAACGTGTACAACCCATGCAGAAAACAAGTGGCCAAGGACCTGAAAGAGAGAACTGCAGTGCCACAAGCCCATCTATTGTGTGTGGAGATTTATGCAGCCATAACGGTTTGGGGGGAAGTAGGAAAAATGATAATGGAAATATCTAGAGCAATTCATTGATGCAAATAATTTAGTAATTCTGAATGATGGAGCACCTACCAAATTTAATGCAGCTGGTGGAAGTTTCTCTTGTCTAGACCTGGGAATTGCCACAAGCAACTGTAGCAAGTAAATGTAGCTGGGAAATCTATAAAGCAGAGGGAATGGGAAATGACCACTTCCTGACACTCATTATATGTCAAGGAAAGGCTAATACTGAAGAATATGATTGTCCCCCTACTTGGAATCTAAAAAAAAACCAAAAAAACCCCAATTGGGAACTCTTTAGCAACAAAAGTGTGGAATATGTAAATGGGCAGTGTCATTGGCGTAGTTTGACTTTATAGTTGGGGGGTGGGGGGCAGCTCCACCCAGGCCAATGGGTCTGGGCAGGGGGTGGCAAATTCCACACCTGCCTGGGGCTTGCGGTGCTGGGAGTCACGGTGGGGTCACCGCTGGCCTGTGGGGCCAGGCACCTGGCCCAGTGTTTTCCTAGGTCTCACACAGGGACCCTGAAGGCTCAGTCTCCGTCCCCCTTTGGTTATGTTGCTGTAGCTTCCAAGTTGCTATGCCAGGACAGGATGAGTGAGTGGTGCTGTGCGTGCGTATCTACACGTGTGAGCCTGCGTGTGTCCCTGTCTGTGAGGGTGTGAGAAACGTGAAGTATGAGAGAGGGGCTGACCCAGTGG